AAACTGTACTGTTCTCATTACGTTTTCCACCTAAAAAGCTTTAATGGAACACCAGCTCTGAGAGTAAGAAAGATTAAAGAAAAAAAGAAAGACCTCATTTGGCCTTCTCAATCAGCTTAGTATAGGGCCTTTAATGATCTGATTTGTCTCCAGAAAGCAGATGCACACTGTTAGGACAGATGTATCTCTGATTCCAAATGCTGTCCAGTTCTCAGGACTTGGAGGATTAAGCTTGATTCTGAACCGGAGCACATCTCTTTGTCTTCAGTGTTGTGCTGATTTTTTTTTTCCTTTACAACAATCAAAAGACCTCTTTGTGACGTTAAGTAAATAGATACTCTCCTTAGGGCTTTGTACTAGGTTGAGAATAGCATCATTCACCAGTGAGCATCTGCCTGTAGTGCGTGTCCCGGTTCTGCCTCTCGGCTTTGTATCTTCCTCTGCGTATCCATGCTGTCATCTGTAACTTGAGGAACTTGATTGCGTGCACCACTGACTTGCCAGGACACGTTTGAGCTACTAAAAAATAATAATTATTTATTGAGCTGAACTGGTGGCATGCACTGGTAGTCCCAGTATTCAAGAGGTACAGGCAGGGGGATCAGGAGTTCAAGGTCAGCCTTGACTACATTGGCAGTTTGAAGTTAGCATGGGCTATATGCAACTTTGTCTCAAAAAGCTAAAACTTATTATTTACTTATTTATTTATTTACTTATTGTTTTTTTTTTTTTTCGAGACAGGGTTTCTCTGTGTAGCTTTGGCTGTCCTGAAACTCTCTCTGTAGACCAGTCTGGCCAGTCTCAAGTCTCCTGAGTGCTGGGATTAAAAGTGTATGCCTTCATGCCCCATTTTTTTTTTTAAATGTTCAAATTCATGGCAAAGTATATTGATTCTTTTGTTGTTATTTTATAATTCTACGTGTATCTCAATCATTGTGTTCTAATTGTGGCAGAGATTTTATGCACACTTAATAACATGGACCTTTGTGTGCTTCTTGCATTAATTTAGCAAGTGCTTGTTGAATAAAGGTTTTCTCAGTGTTCATGTTCCACTTTCTGGAACCAGTTCTTTGTTTCTTAGAAGGTGCTTCTTCTGCCTTTAAAACTAGAAGAAGAAAACCCCTAAGAGACAAGGATAAATACTGTCTGTCTACTAAAGCTATATGTTCAGGACTGTCAGACACTAAGCTATTGTCTTGCTAAAACTTTGATGAAAGATTTTGAAGTCTTTATGAGAGAAGCTGGTGTAAAATCTTTCATGTTGGGAAATGTTAGTGCAGAGATGGTTTCTGTTCCCTTCTGGTCGGGCAGATGTGAAGCCGTGTGTGCAGTCCATGGACATCACGTGCCGTCCTCAGCTTCCCTTGCTTAGTTTTACAAAGAGAATCTCACGGTTCTCCTGTCATTTCTGCATAGTGACAGAGGTTTCACATCCCAGTTTTCTTCTTGTGCTTTTTAATCGCTTTGGGGTTTAAGGAAAGGTAATTTCAGGCGAGTGTTCTCTACTCCTGGTGCGAAGGTAACAGCCATTTTATTTCTCCTGAGTACAAGGAGCAAAAAACTAAATCTGAGTTTTGGTAGATGGTTTGTGAGGTGGTTACAGAGACCACATTTGTATTATATTAGCAGAGTTGTTTCAGTGACTTAGTAAATTAGGTTAGAAGATGTACTTCTTCAAATATCATCATTTAAAAAAAAACACTCTTCATATTTAAAACTAGATTTAGAGGTCTAAGGGCTTTTTTTTAATTACCATGCCTTCATTTATTTTGGTACCATTTTTATGGCTTGGGTAAGTTACTGTGTCCTGTCTAAATATTAATCAGTCCTGACTCAGTCTAGAACCCTGTGAGACAGGGTAGTTGTGGAATTGAAGTGTCCTCAAGTACAAGATCAGATGATACCTCCCGCCCTGACAGTGGGGTTATTGAAAGGGTTGTTTAGGGTAATGTAACTGACATGGCATCTGACACAGTGCCCAGTGAAGGTGTTAGGGGCTTCCCACTTTCATTGCTCTGTTCCCTGTGTATGCAGTTGTTCTGGGAGTGTCTCCTACTTAAGTAAGACTTCTGCTGCACTTTAGTTTCAGTGTATCAGAGTTGAATCCAGAGGAAACTTCTCTGTGATAGAGACCTTGTTTGTTTGTTTACTGTGACATCATTGGCATGAAGCCTTGAACCTGTGCTAAATGCTTGATAAGTATTTCATGGATGAATGGATTTGCTTGAATAAAATTAGAGGGTGCCTTTGATGTTTATAGATATCAGATGAACTCAGGTGAAATTAAATCATTAAAAAAATGTATTTACTCTCTTTGCCCCATCTACTGCGAGAATGAAGACCATTCTCAGCAATCAGACTGTCGACATTCCAGAAAATGTCGACATCACTCTGAAGGGGTGCAGAGTCATTGTGAAGGGCACAGGGGAACTCTGCGGGGGGACTTCAATCACATCAACGTAGAGCTGAGTCTTCTTGGAAAGAAAAAGAAAAGGCTCTGGGTTGACAAATGGTGGGGTAACAGAAAGGAACTGGCCACTGTCAGAACCATCTACAGTCATGTTCAGAACATGATCAAGGGTGTTACACTGGCTTCCGTTACAAGATGAGGTCTGTGTACGCTCACTTCCCCATCAACGTCCTTATTCAGGAGAATGGGTCTTTGGTTGAAATCCGAAATTTCTTGGGTAAAAAATACATCCGCAGGGTTCGGATGAGGACAGGTGTTGCTTGTTCTGTCTCCCAAGCCCAGAAGGATGAATTAATCCTTGAAGGAAATGATATTGAACTTGTTTCAAATTCAGCGGCTCTGATTCAGCAAGCTACAACAGTTAAAAACAAAGATATCAGAAAGTTTTTGGATAGCATCTATGTGTCTGAGAAGGGAACCGTGCAGCAGGCTGACAAGTGAGGCCTCAGATTCCTAGCTCCAGAAACAAGATCCTGATCACAAGTACAATTTGGGCAATAAAGGACTTATATATTGAAAAAAAAATGTATTTGGTCATTGAGATGGCCCAGTGGATAAAGGCACCTGTTGCCAAGCCTGACCTGAGTTTAATCCTCAAAACCCTTAGAATCGAAGGAGAGAACTGGTCTCTACAGGCTGCCTTCTGGTTTTCACATTTATTCCTAATAAAACAAAAGAAACAAACTGGGCATAGTGGTGCACAGGTTAAATCCCAGCACTGGGGAGGCAGAATCAGGTGGATCTCTGTGAGTTTGAGGCCAGCCTGGTCTACAGAGTGAGTTCCAAGACAGCCAGAGCTATATAATGAGACCCTGTCTCCAACAAAAACAACAAAACAAACAAAAAAACCCCAAAAACTTTTTTTAGGGGACTGGGGAGATGGGTCTGTCACAAAGGTGCTTGCTCCTGAAAACATGAGGATCTGCGTTGAGATTGTCAGCACCCATGTAAAACGCTGAGCTCAGTGTCACATGTCTGTAATCCACGTCACTGAGAAAGCAGAGAGAGAGATCCCTGGAACTCATTCAACAGTGAGTTTAGCAAAATCAATGAACTCCAGGTTCAGTGAGAAACCCTGTCTCAAAACCATGAAGGAGAGAGTAATTGAGGAAGACAACCAATGTTGACCTCTGCCCCCGCCATGCACATACACACCTATACATATATACCACACACACAGATGCTTAGTATTAGTTATATGCAGGGTCTGTTGTAGGCGTTGGGTGTATAGTGGTGAAAAAGACTCACAGGCTGGGTAGTTGGCTCGGTGGTTAAGAATACTTTCTTTGCTTACAGAACACGAAAGTTTGATTCCCAGCACTAGTGGTGGTGGTGGTGGTGGTGGTGGGGGAGGCTTACAACTGCCTGTAACTCCATCCCTGGGAGAGCAAACACCTTCCCTGACCTCCGCAGGCACATGAACACACACACACACACACAGAGAGAGATTAAAAATAAAATGAATCTCTTAAAAAAGACTGGAGCTTATTCTCATAAAACTTTGTATTCTGAATGGAGGAGGGGTTTGGAAGAAGGGCAATAAAGAAGTGAAGCCCAGAAGGTCTGAAGTGTTGTAGGGCTGAGAGGGATCTGTGGGATCAGGGCCACTGCTTTAGCTGGGGTGCTGGGGAGGCCTCTCTGAGGGACGTGTCATCTGAACTGGAACAGCAGTGACGATACCTTTGAGTCTCATCCTGGGGCTTGAGGACTAGTGCTGGAGCCTTGGCATCAAGTTTCACATATGTGAGGTTTTGTAGCCTGCCCTCTCCTTCTGCTCACGTAAAACATAACGTAAATCAGCATTGGCTTTCTAAAATGTCCCCTACAGCATTTCTCTGGTTTTCCCTCCTAGTATAATGATTTCACTTCCTACTTTCAAAACTGCTGAACATTCAAACACTTATTTCTCAGAAAAAAACTCGTTTGAAGAGCTTAAAATAGGATACCTCTGGACAAGGATGTAATTTGGTATTACGTCATGAAACCTGAAGGCATCTTTTGTGTGGTTAGTTTGACTATATACTTGTCCTTGCTGTTGTCAACTCTGGTAGCAACTGATCAGAATTCTGTGTTTGTTCTTCCTAATGGAGAAGTCTTCACCCTAAGAAATACAATGAAGGCAAGCAAAAGAGATTTGCAGAACTTTTAAATGTAATCATCTCTAGGGATGGAATTCCTGTAAATCTTACAGTTTTGACTGACCCCTTGAAAGGACAGTACCCAGATACCCTGTTTTAGGAAGCATGAAGCCTTTAATTTAATTATGGTATATTTCATTCCATGATCTTGATAGATATTGTTTTAAGCTAGCCTCTCAATGTGCATATCTTTCATGATTTAAGGCATTAATAATTTATTCAGGATGTATAGGTAAATTTTTTTTGTGCTTTCATGCAAGGTCTTCTGTTTAATGGATTGGAGTTCTGTTGGTGATTAAGTCTAAATATATTAGTCTTTTGAGGTTTAGGGGTTTGCCTGCACCGTTCAGGTTTTGCTTATAATAGTTCCCTTTTCTTCTTCCTTTTAATAGGAACACCATGACAACAGAGAAGAGCTTAGTGGCTGAAGCTGAGAACTCCCAGCACCAGCAACAGAAGGAAGAAAGTGAGGGAGCCACTAACTCAGGCCAACCAGAAACTCAGCTGGAGGAGGCTTCCCAGGCAGCCACAGTTGAGGGCAGTAATCAGGGTGAGCAGAAGCTGAAAGCATCCAATGGGGACACTCCAACACATGAAGACTTGACCAAGAACAAGGAACGGACATCAGAAAGCAGAGGCCTGTCACGACTGCTCTCCTCATTCCTCAAAAGGCCCAAGTCTCAGGTCTCTGAAGAAGAAGGCAGAGAAGTAGAGTCGGAGAAAGAGAAAGGTGAAGGAGGTCAGAAGGAGCTAGAACTGGGAACCAGTCTTGATGAAGACATCATTTTAAAGGCCCCCATTGCGGCTCCTGAACCTGAGCTCAAAACAGACCCGTCTTTGGATCTTCATTCATTAAGCAGTATAGAAACACAGGTAAGGCATGTGACTGGGGGAGAAGATAATGACGATGCATTATATGCTGTACTTTTCATGGAAGAATATTTGGCTTTGTTTTTATGAGCCAGTTGGCTTAGGCATTGATAAAGATAAATAACATATAGAGTTTCTTCTCTAAAGAAATTAATGTCATCAGTTGAAACCTGACTTAAACAAATATACTTTAATAGTCAAAGAAATGAGAGAAAACTATCAAATGAGCTTATTGAGGCCATATATCATCTTGCTACAACAGTGGAACAAATTTGAGTTTTATTGAGAGAACAAGGAAGGAGTGAGGTAGTTTAGAGCAGTGTGGCCTGTCAATGAAAATCTTCATTAGTACACGCGATGGATTTGGGCCATCCCAGGGTATGTGATAGATATAAGCCAGGCTTTGGGCTATCTCAGGGTACATGATAGATCTGAGCCATGCCTGCCTTATTAACCTGTAAGGAGCACATTACTGCGAGATATAGAGAACAATGCTAATTCTATTCCTTGTGTAATAGTTTTAATTTTTTATTACATTTATTTCTGTGTGTGCATGCATGTGCGTGCGTTGCGGTGTGCATGTGGAAACCAGGGGACCACTGTGGGGGATCAGTTCTCTTTTTCTCACTGTGTGGCCTTCAGGAATCAAGCTCTGGTAAGCAGGCCTGCCAGCAAGTGCTGTTACCTGCTGAGCCATCTCATCGGCTCCTTCTGTAGTATTTATTCATATAGAGCTTTAACTTTGTCACAGTGTAATTAAACGTAAGTTGTTCCTTTGTCCAGAATACATGCAAAGGCACTAAACTCAAACTGTCTCCTAGGAATCTTATTCCTTCCTTAGTGTGTACAGAATAAGAGTTATGTTCAAAATCTTACTTCTGAAGCTTTGAATATTATCTGGATTATTAAAGTTTAAGTCCTGTGTGTGCTTCAGTGAAAGGCCTAAAGTTTGGGGTATATAGTTTCATTATACTTCTAGAATGATTACATGTGTTTCCAGAAATATTATTTGTATGTTTTGAGTGCCAAAGACCAGACTTTAGGATGACATCACAATAGGCACTGGCTGTTAGTAAGACAATATAAAAACAAGATTGGGGTTACATAGATGGCTCAGTGGGTGAAAGGATTTCTGCACTAGCCTGGTGACCTGATTCAAATCCCTAAAGCCCTCTTAAGAAGCTCAGTGTGGTAGAACAAATCTGTAATCCCAGCATTCCTCTCGCAGGATGAGAAGTGCAGACAGGAGACTCACCTGGAAGCTTGTGGTCAGTTAGCTAGAGTGAACAGTGCAGTGGGCGAAACAAGAAAGACCCTGCCTCTCAGGGAGATACCGAGAGCCAGCTCCTTAAAGTTGTCCTTGTCCTCTGACTTATACGCATGAGCGTACACACACACACACAAACAGGAAAGAAGATTCACTATGTAATAGTTATGACTGAAATCTATGGAATCAAGCTAGGGACTGCATAGAAGTCACAGGAAAGTGATAGGCCCTCGTGCTTGCACAGCATCTTACTGACTGATCCATTTCCCCAGCTTCATCTATTAGCCTTGTTTGTTTGCTATCATCCACCCATCCATCCATCCATCCATCCATCCATCCATCCATCATCTATCTATCATCTATCTATCTATCTATCTATCTATCTATCTATCTATCTATCATCTATCTATCTATGTTTGAGAGACAGTCTTGCAGTGTAGGCCTGGGTAACCTGGAACTAGCTCTACAGACCAGGCTGGCCTCTAACTCACAGAGATCTACCTGTCTCTACCTCCTGATTGCTGGAGATTAAAGGTGTGCACCCATGCCCCAGTACTCATCTGTTAGTTTTAAATGCTTGTTTAGTCATTCATCCATTCAAAAATAACTATTGAAAACCTACTGTGTACACCAGGTTCTAGGATAGATGTACCCTGAGAAGTTACAAACTGTAAGTGGTGGGGCAGTATGGTGGCTCAGAGGGTGAAGTGTTTGCTGCTGTGAGCCTGATGACCACCCAGGTGAAGGTGGGAGGAGCAACATACTGCTCGTTGATATAAGAAATGGTCCAGTGGGCTGGGACAAACACGATGCCTCACGAAGGCCTTTCTGAGGCTGCGTGTGAGATGGTTGTGGAGGCTATTACAAGCCCATTAGCCATTCCTGAATCTGGTATCAGGCAAGCAATTAGTCTTTTCCTTTTTATTTATAAATGTCAATCATGTATTGTTTTGGAAGAAGAAAATTCATAGCATTTAGTTAAACTCTTGATAGATTTATTGTGTTAAAAGTAAAGAAATAGTCCGGGCAGCCCCTAATCCCAGCACTTAGAAGACAGAAGCAATTGAAATACAAGTTTGAGGCTAGTTAATCTTTATAAAACAAACTAATTACAAAAAACAGTAAGACAACATGGGTCAAAACATTCTCTGACTTTTGGTACTGGGGAGATGGCTCAGCAGTTAAGAGGCACTGGCTGCTCTTCCAGAGGTCCAAAGTTCAACTCCCAGCAACCACATGGTGACTCATGACCATCTGTAATGAGATCTGATATTCTCTTCTGGTGTGTCTGAAGACAGCTACAGTGTACTCACATCCATAAAATAAATAAATAAAATGTATTTTCTGACTTTCCTGTGTTGCACAGAGACTTAATGGTTGCCGAAGGTGGCCAGCCTCAGTCTTCCTCTTCCTTCCTTCACCCTCGTTTGGATGTTCCAGGGCAGAGAGGCATTAAGATGGAGTTACAGTTTTTAGCCTGGTAACGTCATTTGCTTAATGCAAATATGTAGAAAATACGAAGCCCTCAAAAACTTTTAGCTGTTTATAAAATGTAAAGCCTGTGACAAATCATTTTATCTTCAGTTCACAAAGTGACTGTGCTAAAGCTGATGATCATAGAATGCAGACAAAAATTGGATGAGCATTATATTATATAATACTGAGAGCAGTAGATTGGTGTCTCACAGTCACGTACTGATTTGATAAGATTCTACCTGGAAAAAAAGAATAGTAATGTTGAACATCTTTACAGAAATCATAATACCGTTTAGAAAAATATGATATAGTTCATATAATTCAACTTATTTTTGCTTTAATAGTTTTTTTTTCCTGTTTGTGTCTTTATTGGTAGGGGTACTATATTAGTTACTATAGGTAGGAGTGTGTACCTTGTTTGTGAGTACCTTTACAGTGACTTGGTGTCATGGATGTGTGTAGCCAGCTCAGGAAGAACACAGAGAGGACCCGGATTCTGAAACAAAGGAAGGAGAAGGGATTGAAGAGTGCTCTGGAACAGAGGTGAAGGGGGACCCTGACTCCAGAGCAGAAGGAGACCCCGAGGCCTCGCAGAAGCCCATCAGGAGACACAGAAACATGCACTGCAAGGTGTCCTTGCTGGATGACACAGTCTACGAGTGTGTTGTAGAGGTGAGTCGTCTTAACCCCAGAGGTCAGACCACTCACAGTCACTTCCTGTGCTATAGACGAGGCCCGCCCCGAGGACGTTCTATGGGAGGAAATGTTGACAGTGGCTTTCTGGAAATGAAGGGACAGGAAAATTGTGAGTCTTATTTTTTCCTCCCTGAATCTGTCAAAATCTTGGGACTTAAAGTCATTTTGTTTTTCAAAAGATAATACGTATGTATGTATTATGCATGGTGGTTGCCTCTCTATGACCAGATTTTCCAAAATAGTCTGAATATTTCTAGCTATCCTGTAATTATGTTTGAAAAAGAAATTACTAGGAGGTATCTGGTGCAGAAGCACCTGCCATGCAGCTGTGAGTTCACATGCCCAGAACCCACACAGAGCTGGCTGCATTAGCATCTGTAATCCCTGTCCCCTCACAAGGAGATGAGTATAGGGACAGGAGAGTTCCATTAAGTTGGTGAGCAGATAGTCTGGTGCAGGAAGTGGTGATTCCCTCTTTCAAATAAGTTACAAGGCAAAGGACTGACACCTGAGGTTGTTCTCTGGCCCACATTCGTTCTGTGGAATTCACACATTTACATATATACGTGTTATGAGTACATATATATAAACAAACACACATACACACACACACACACACACACACACAGAAAGAGAGACAGAGAGATCAAATAGATAATTAATTTAAAAAGAAGTTACATGGCTGAAAAGATGATTTAGAGCATTTGCTACCCTCTCAGGTAACTGAGTTTGGTTCCTAGTACCCATATGATGGCCTGTGCCTGTGACTCCTGTTCCAGGGGAATGGACATCCATTTACAGGCTCCTCAGGCACCTGTGAACAGATGATGCACACAGATTCATGTGGACACACACACACAAACACAGACACACACACACTCAGACTCTATTTCTAACATTTCTGTCCCCCCAGATCTAAGCCTCAGTCATTCATTGTATCCGATGTCTTTAGTCCAATGAGATATACTATAGAACTAAAAATTATATAATGCTGTTTCTTTTGTTTTCAGTTGGAGAATATATGTATATATTATATATACCATTTCTTAAAATCTCGTAAGTTTTATGAAAGAATCAGTAGTTGAGTCAGGATTCAATAAATGTCAGTTATTTAGCTTCCTTCTTTGTTCCTTCAGGACAAACTAAACTATTAACTGTTGCTTTAGCTGCAACAGTAGTTGCGTGTTATGCCATGGTTGCTTGTGCACAATTATTGCAAGTACCAATAGCTTTTATGAATAGAATGTGTGATTCATGGACTTGAACTTCAGTATTTCTGGATCAAATTGTGTACACAGGTAAATGTGTCCAACCACAAGCATTTTAAAATATTATATATAGAATACATATTATCTTTGACTTTGTAATTGTGGTGTTGTTCTTAAGATGGGGACTCATGTAGCTTAGGCTGGCCTTCAAGTTGTTGTGTAGCCTTAGGATGCTCCTGAACTCCTAACCCCATTTCCTGCCTCTGTCACCAAGTGTGAGGACTGCAGGCATGCGCCACTATGCCTGACTCAAATATGTTATTTCATTGGCAAAAATATAAAGATTTGTTCTAAGATGGATAAATGAAGGTTATAAATTGCCAGATTTTTTTCAACAAATGAGCTTTAGTAATAAAATAAATTGACTCCTTTAAGTTAGATTTTGGATTTTTTAGAATTCCTAGATTTGGAAATTATGAGTAAAGGGGTTAGGGAAATGTACCTGATTTCTCAAATTATTGGCCGTCATTTAGGGTGAAATCAGAAGAAAAGGGGGAAGAAAATGATGCTGTGTAAATGAGTTACTACTGAGTGAACAAAATGATGAAAGTTTCTAATAGTCATTTAAATTGATTAAGAAGAGGCTATGTCATGTATATGCTAAAAATACCTGTACAGCTAGGATATAGCTCAGTAATAGCACAGGTTCATGACACATACGAAGCTCAGTCCCCAGAACAGGGGAAAAAATAAAATCTAATTTTGAAGTATTTTTGTACAAATTTCTCGGAAGACATTAACATGTTTCTGGTTTGTTTGTTTTTCAGTAAAAAGTGGTATTAAAAATCTTATTTTACAGCTGAGCAAGCTATTGTTAATTGAAATGACACAGTTGATTAGCTGGTAATAGAGGAGCCAGTTTGTTTTAACTTTAATTCACGGCCTGGAAACTAGGGCATTCATTCTTCCTGATAGGCAAGAGTCTAAGTGCCCAACTTTGGAAGTGGTTTGGATTTGTAAAGAATGATTCCTAACACTGTTGAATAGCTGCTGTGACCGCCAGTGTCTACAGGATGTCTGCTTCCTCCTCCTCAGAAGGAGGCTGTAGGGAGTTCAGGTATAGGTCATGCTCATTGATACTTATGAAGAGGAATTCCACAGCCACAGTTACCTCTGTTGACAGGTTGAGCCAGTAATTTAGTTGATGAATGTTGCAGTAAGTATTATTTGGGGGTTTCTATACTGCTGTGGATCACTTAGCCTTCAAATAAAAGACACAAGACCTTTATATTTATAATAAGCCTTAAAAGCACTACAGCTGGGCAGATATCAACCCTCCAAGCTATTTTGTCTACTTCCCTGTCAATATCCTTAAGATATATATCACTTCCCATGTTCAACCTGGGCTACTCCTACACTAACAGGCCGGCCCTCATGGCCATAAGCTCATGATCTACCTACACCTTGGCAACTTCTTCCTCTCCTTCCTCCTTCCCTCCCTCCTTTCCTCCCTCTCTCCCTCCTTTCCTCTTTGTCTTCCTCCTTCTTCCTCCCTCTTCCTCTCCCTCCCCTCCCATCTCTGCCTTAGACCCCAAGCCTGAGAACTGAAGCCTCACCTACCTCTCTTCTGCTCAACTACAGGCTGAGCATCTTTATTAAACAGTCACAGATAACTTGGTAGGCAGGGCAAGATTATAATAGAAGCTGATACATGTGAGGATCTCCTCGTCTTGAGGCAGACCCTGGGATACAGAATTTAGCATTACAATCCATAGCAACAGACCAGACCTCAGCAGACCATGGTAACTGGTTGTGACCCATAGCAGAATTCATGAAACACTGCACAAAAAAATTATGAGAGCAAGTGGGAGGAATAGAATGTGACTATGAGACTATGAATACATGAGTGTACTTAGTTGGGTGTGGCTGTGTGTGTCTGTAGTTCTAGCACTTAAGATTCGCAGACTAGAGGGTCACATAGTGAGATCCTGCTGAGGGTGTGTATGGTGCTTTGGATGGAGATGGAGAACAGGGGAGATGGGGTTTTACTCAGCATTGTCACTGTTTCCAAAAATGCTGCAATATGTTGCATTGATAAGCTGATATATCAAGGAAGAGGGATTGTATACATCGTGTTCTATTTAGACTGCGCAGCTATCTGAGAATGTATGTGTTACAAAAGGTAAAAAAGGAAATTGGAAAATCACACTTTTTGAAAATTTGATATGAATACAAGAATAAAGAACCTTAAGTAGTGTTTGTGCATCTTCACAGAAACATGCTAAGGGACAAGATTTGCTTAAGCGAGTGTGTGAGCACCTCAACCTGTTGGAAGAAGACTACTTTGGCTTAGCTGTGTGGGACAGTGCAACCTCTAAGGTGAGCAGACTGCAGCGTAGGCTGCTGGCAAATTCCCCTTCTCATGGTGGTGACAGTGCTTATACCCGTCTCTCCAGGACATCCATGCATGCAGTGGTCTCTCATGTTCTCAGATTTTCCTTCTTGAGTTTACTGAGAGAGAGAGGGAGAAAGAGGGACCATTATTACTGAAGTGCTCTTTCTCATCATCAAGAAACGGAAGTTCAGCAAGGTTGTCCCCATCAAGGTTATACAGCTAATGAACAGGGGAAAGGTTAAGACTGGAGCCTTATCCCTTGTTCTTATTAGACCTCAGTATGTGTTCTCAGTTACAGCCCTGACTATAGTCACGCTTCCTATGGCTGCCATTCCTTTATTCTAAGCCCTTCAGTGGCTCCCACTTGTCTAGAGCTTGATGCAGCCCAGGTTGCTCAGCACTGAGTGCTGTCTCCGTGTCCTGGCCCTTACTGTACTTTCAGTTGTAGCTCTTGTCTTCCATGATTACCTCTGGGCTCAGTTTATGCTGAACTATGCACAACAGCTATTTTGTACTTCTGTACCTGTCTAATTTCATTTCTTCTTTAGACTCCCCAGATACGTTTCCTAAAGTTCCTTCAGTTCTGAGCGGCTCTGGGCTTCAGCAGAGCATTGCGCAGTCACACCCAGGGTGTGCACATGGTTACTCACCACTCGTCTCTCATTAGTGACTGCTCCTACGTGTTATTTTATTCTAGGCTTTTTGTTTTTCTTTTTAAATTTTACGTGCATTGGTGTTTTGCCTGCATGTACATATTTGTGAGGGTTCCAGATTCCCTAAAACTGGAGTTATAGAGAGTTGTGAGCTACCATGTGGGTGCTGGGAATTGAACCTGGGTTCTCTGGAAGAGTAGCCAGTGTTCTTAACTGCTGAGCCACCTCTCCAGCTCCAGTCTTTTCTTCATAACCACAGTGTCATCCACATGCCATCATCCCACAAACGTTTGTTGACTGAATACAATACAAAGAATTGAATATTTTAAACTGAGCAAAGAAGAACACATGCTGATTTTATTATTACTAAAGTTTTTGTTTCTACTTTTGATCTTGTTCAAAAAATTATAAATTGTATTAATTCATTTTGTGTGTCGGGTTGGGATTAGGGGTCGCACGTGTATGGAAGTCAGAGGACAACTTTGGGGAGTTGGTGTTCTCCTTCTACCACAGAGCGTGGGGTTAGACTCAGGCTCGGTTAGCAGGGGCCACTTTTACCTGCTTAGCCATCTCACCCCTAAGCGGTAACTGGTTCTGTAAGATAGCTTAGACTTTGCAGGTCCCGTGTGATTGACACAAATCTGGATTTGCCCTTTTCAGTGTCAAATCCCCTTGGTGGGGATTTTAGCTCCAAAGTCCTAGAATTGCTTATGGGATCTCTGGAATGAAGAGCTGAGAAGTCTCTTAAAACAGTAGAGAATATGGAGCACCCTGCTGTGGGTGCCATTAGTAAGCATTTTGGGGTGCATATAAGCCAAGGGTTTTCAGAGGTTCCACCAGACTTAGCATTTGTGTTTAAATTCCCTTGCCTTTGACCAAATGAGAGGCAAAGGAAAAGCACTCAGATTCTTCCTCTCTGACAGGGCTCCAACAAGTGTGTGCTAAATTTTTATGTGAGTGTGTATGTGCTGTGTGTGTGTGAGTGTGTATGTGCTGTGTGTGTGTGAG